ATCGTGTGATATCTTGTTGTGTATACATTGTGATCAAACGAGATCCGGACACAACAGGTACTCTGTGAGGTATCGGTTCTGATCCGCAGTGCTTTCCAGCTTTTCAATTAATGAACAATTTGGTCTTTAAACGACGAAATAGTAATATAAGGTTGCGGAATGGGGAAGCGTTCAATCCATGGTCTGCCTTAAAACACCGAAAATGAGGTATGTAAGTTGATAATTGTGGTGAAATTCGAGCACGCGTCCTCCGCGGTGGTCAGTTAGTGATCTTAAGCCCTCGATCACCACGAGAGAATTATGTGATCCAAAAATAAATAGGAAGCCCTATAAACACTTTTTATTGTATCCATTATGGAAATGGCTTTCTGTCTATAAACAGCACGTTCCAAAACTGCAGTAGAAATCAGTTGAGAAAATTCACTTTCTCTCCAAATTTTGTGGCCGTTGAAGAATACAGAGAGATATTTTTCAGATAATGTCTGAACCAGACATATACCATTGTGAACTGGTGAGAGACTGTGAGATGAATGAATTAACTACACAACCAAGACAAATACTGATTTGTCATAAACTATAATGGTTCCGTGACGTGGAGCACCACGAATTTGCGGTGTACCACGGTCATTGATTCTTTTCCATAAGGTGCACTCTGATGAGATTACTTACTCTCATATGGTAAGGCTATAGACAGAGAAGACCTGCCACAGTTAGAACTCCCTCGGGAGGTATTTCGTGAGGAAGTCAACGTTCATGATGAGGTGTAGTAAAACGAATGTCGGAAAGTACGAGTAATTTGGAATGTTATCTCTCTGTGGTAGGAGAACAACTAATGTTCCATTCTCTATTCACTTGAATCTGTACTGTTTGAGCAGCCGTGATAATTGCATCACTCATTCGATTCGTAGCGGAGTCAAAATGAATTGAACAACTAACAATCGTACATGAAATCCAAAGAATTCCTTGTTCAGTTTCACGGAAAAAGTATTACCTTCAACAACTCAGTACTGTTTTCTATCCTTTGTTATGCGTTGAATGCACAAACTTATTTTCAAGAAGTGAGGCAATCGGGCGCTATTTGAAGAGATAATTTACCTCGGACACAATACATATAGTAAAATACAATCCGCTGATCAATAGAGATTGCACAAATTAAAGTATGATCCAAGGTTTGAACCAAGCTTACCTGCGTTCCTCTCCCCGGATAGGAAGCGGAAGATTTATTGGTTAAGTCTATACAAGATAAAACTTAGAAATATACTCGGAAGAGTAAAGCAGCTTAGTTTTCTAACACCACGAAAACAGAATTAGGCGCAAAACCAAACTGAAATACTACACACGATCCATAAATGCTCATCCTCGTTCAAATCAAAACCTTAGCATAGTAGCAAGAGAGGATATGAAACTCAAATGTCAGAAATGTTTGCCTCATGTCTTGGTTTCGTAGTGTTTTATCTCCTACAGCTTGTTGGAATGTGTTCACTCGCACCACATACTCCTTCAGGGTGTACTGAAGGCTATCATGACCCTAGTTGTCATGGTGTAACTTTGTTGAGAAGATCTGAACCCACAATGTAGGATGACATATCTCTAGCACTCACTCTGCCCAAACGTTTCAAATCCTTGTACCATGCTCCAGCAATACGGGGATGCGGCAAGTGTCGTACTAGTGCCCTCTCGAGCAATTGATGGTATCGGATCATTCGACAAATGGGTTTGAATCAGACACACTCCGAACTCGTACTGTGTGCCGGGTCTCAGGCCACGGAGCATCGCCTTAAAATGATTTCCACTCCGTTTAGTACCCCGATTTCGATTGGGTACAGTTAGATTGACAAGTTCAACATCTCTTTCGTAGGCAGACAGTCCACTGCCACGACCCCTTTGGTGTTCGTTGAATCCATCGGCCGTAATGGCGTAGTACTTGATCTGAAATACCATTGAGGGCATTGTTTCAGGAGCAGGAAGGTTGGGTAATTCCCACCCGACGCGAGCCCATGTGGATCCAACGGCCTGTACCACAAGATTAACTGGGATCAATGGGCCACTGATAGGACGAGATAAGTTGTCTGATAATAATAAACGGCACAGAAACACAATTTGGGTTAAAATGTAATGAATGTGTCAAAAATATTAATCTTCTCCATACAGAATAATTTCGAAGAGCCAGGTTTTTGAAAGTTAGGTAATTAAATACGATTAAGTAAACTTTGACATGTTAACTTTGATCGAGTGTGAGTAACCGAATGAGACCATATCACACCAAGCCTGCATGGTAATAGCTAGGTATTGATTTTCTGGTAAGCGCAGCGTAATCCTTGCAGAAGATTTGTTTGTCCAAGTCATGACCAGATGCTCTTATCTACTTTTGTCTAGTATGCGGAGTCTGAAATGGCTGTGAAGTGCACTTTACGTGACCTTGAGTCCTTATGTACTGCGAAAACGTGCTCGGTATGTACAATAGTAATTGAAATGGTCGATCACAGTTACAAAATATCACTTATGTCAGGAGCCATAATATGACCACGGTATATATCTGCAGCATGGGTGACATCTTATTATTGCTTGGATTTCGGAGAAAAATATTTGCGCAGAATGCACAGATAAGTAAATCTAGTGGAGGTGCAATGGGTAGTTTCAGTTTCAATATCACCATCAACAAAAGCACAGAAATTACACATGAACACTTATCACTACTTTTTTGGTTGAAAAAGCACGGTTTTTTTGTCCAAGTTTTCTCCAGTTCGCAAAGGCTAAAAGCTCTTGAAAAGAGGCAGAGATAGATTGTCGTACACATGGATATTGCACCTCAATATAACGTCTAGTTATTGAACGATAAAACGGTCTTCGGCTACTGTATCCATAAAAGCCGCGAGGATAGTGTCCAAGGTCCTGATGGTTGAATGTACTGTTCAGTAGCCTGTCTTGTAGTTTTTGTGATGGACAATACCACAACAACAGCTCGAATTTCATACTTATAAATTACAGTCACTGATTGGCTGGGGTTTTCTTTCTGAACATCTACCGTGTGCTTCTTAGATCGAACAAACGGAAGCAAAGATGATTTGCATAATAGTCACTACTAACGATTTCAGATAGTTATTTGCTGAAATATATTTTTTTAATTTGTTAATTAGTAACAGCAACCTTGTTTTTCCATTTCTTCACAGGTCCGTGTTCGGAGAATTGTACTAGTTAAGTAATCCACTTGGTTTGTTTTAGGCCAAACAAATCGATGATTGCAATCGAATGCCACATTTGAAACGGAGAATAGTATATGAAGTAACATCACCAATGGGGGGTTGGTGTCGTAATATATTTATTCGTCCGGCCTGTAGCCACTTTCATTTTAATCATTCCATCAATTGCATATGACCCTCGTGGCGCTTGTATTGTTGCAATTCTACCAGAGTTGATTAAAAACGCGATTCGATTTCCTTATATCAAAGGGAAACGGTCCTCGCCAAGTCCAAACGATAGACTGAAGACATTATTCGGATTACACTCTACGCCATCGTTTCGTAAGCTCCGGGGGAAAATCAAAAAAGTATTTTTCCAAACAAAATAATAAATTACTTTTAGGTTTGCTCGAGATTGTGTCTATAGGCTCTTGATGAACCTCTCGGTGTCTGATTGACCAAAGCTTCTATCTTGCATCTCCACTGTACCGATGGTTGAAACACTGAAGCCAAATTATCTTATCCCGTCTTCAACTTCCTACACGTTTTAAATTAAATGTATGTCAATGTTTGAGCAAACTAGTTGGACTGAAAGTGAGTGAGCCCGCCAGCAGATAAGTAAGCAAGTGAATTTTGCCTTACTCATAGTAAATAGCCGATCCATTATAGGAAACTACAGGCAACGCGTCAGTTAATCATTTTGTTTGTCTACCAATTACTCAGTAACTCCTTTCTAAGCAGCAAGATAAAAGAAAGAGCTGCTTAAATCGAAACTGCCTATTACTATGAATTGATTAATAGTCATTCATTCTTTGTCACATAGCACCGTTCTTAAATCGGACGATTCACACACTCAAATTATAAAATAAAAAGCAGCCATGTAAATATTTAATGCTTGTCCTTTTTCATTGTTCCCCGCGCACGCCAAACACCTTTCTACAAACAATTATAACACTGGTCTGGTCCCAGCAACTTGCCGACCTCCGTCCGTCAGTCGGTCGTTCCATCAGAGACTGCTCTGGAATACTCATCAGGCCATGGATCCGTGGTTGATTGGCAGCGCAGTTCTAACCGGAAGCTGGGCAAAAATTAGCCAGGAAACCGCGGGGTGATAGTGTATGAGGTTAATTGACCGGACACGTTATCATTCAAGCTGTGAGTTTGTGCATTCCTTAAATCGAGCAAGTTGTCTGATGCGCTGTTGCTAACACGATTCCCCGAAAATTGTTAGTCATGCTAGTTAGCCGGTGAAAGGTTCCATGAGGTACACATCCATGCACGCGCACACACGCACGGCATAAGAGCACACATTGTAAACCATCTGTCAGTGGAACCTGGCCATCGGCAAGCAACTGACCTGGCAGACCGAGAATCCCACCCCCCATCTATGTTCAGACAGATTGCCCATAAACACACACAAATGGAGAGAGAGCCAAATGGTGCCCGAAAGGTCGTGTAAGGAGCCGGACCACTGTACGTCTAACAGATGAGAAGGTAAAAGCTAATGAGCATGAATCCCGTATCTGGTGTGCGTGCTGACAATTACATTCCCTTCAAATCAGAAATAATTGATAACAATGTTTTGCCTGTCTACAATCAGTTTCTATGGTGAAGTGCCTGGCGTCATGCTCATATTCACTTCAGCATATCCGAGCATGAACAAATTCTGTCGGAAAGGCAAGACTGCAGTTGCTAATTTGATCAACGACCGACGAATACATGCAGTTGGTATTTGATTGTTTTTCATCAGCCAGTTGAAGAAAATTAGTTTAAAGGGATACTTTACAATTTAAATGAACTGCTCATTGCAACAGAAACTTCAATCATTGCTTACGAAAGGTAAAACGTTTGTTAGGTGTGTACATCGGATATTTTGATCTGTTCCGCGAACTCTTAAATATAGTGAGTCGAAAACATTAATAAACCTGCGATGTATGAACAGATCGTCATCGTTTTAACGTGATTCATCCTGTCTGCAGTTGGTTCTTCTGTAATCAAATAATTGCAAACGGATGCTGGAGAAATGGTCAAAGTAGGATGCAGCAGGATCTCATTCGGTCTCATCTCAGCTTTACATTTTCCTCTTCAGATGATGTGATACCATAAACCGTCCGCATTGAACTGTTTTTCAGTAATTGTAAAACAGAGGTGAACATATGAATGAACTCGGGAATCAGTTACAAACACCATCATCACCGTATTAAGTTATGGCTACCATTTAAAACAGGGGAGTGAGCATTGTTTTTACTTGCATTGTCTGTGCGAGTTCACATACCCCAGAAGGTGCATGTTCCCTGTTGTAGAATACAAACGAAAACTCTATTGCAATTTAAACGCAGCATTACCGAATAAACGATCAATTGTATACCTGTTCAACTTGATTTCACGATACTTCTGACCTTCGTTATATTCGTCATTAAGGTTAATTGTGCGTGGGAAATTCATTCATCTCACCAGCCATGACGATTTTGAAACGCAAGGTAGGAGTGTGATAGTCGGAATGTGAAGCACGTCAGTGCATAAGTAACTGAATAAGATTGACGGATCCACAAGTGACTTTTGACTTGACCAATATTCCAGTTATGAACGATCGAGTGACTGACCGCAGTGAACTAGAAATCGCCAACCCCGGACAAATACACAAGCACAGCAAAGGTCACCATTTATTTATACAAAGACACACCGACAATGGAACAAATTACGGAAAACTCTAATGAGTGTATTCGTAGGCCACTATCAACAATAACAATGGTATTGTTATCACCATAACCCGATCACAAACATCGTTTCGAGCCATGAAGGCGGACACGACTATTCGTCATGTGCATAACAGAACGACTGGATCACAACAGCTCATTTTGTGTTGATCATTTGAAACGATGGATTTGGTTGTACACCTAACGATGTAAGGGGAACTGATTAAACGCGGGACTCACCTGTCATGGAACTGAGTGTTCGAGTTACGGTATAGGCAGCAGGTCCTTCACCCAACTGCGTGACTGCAATCACTCGAATATAATAAATGGTTCCTGGTCCTGCGAGCAGTCGAGGGAGAGGAAGATTGATAATCAGAAATGAAACAATGATCAAAGGCGGAGTTTATTGCTATTGTTCACTCGTTCGTCAATCAAATTCAGTCAAGGGCCTTTTTCACTTTCCGACCAGGGAGTGGCTGATTTAAGTTTCAGCCCAGTAGTTCGATTCGCATTTTATTCATTCTCATGTAAAAGGAGGGATATTGATAAATTTGATATATTTCTGATTTTACCTTCACCGGAAACTATTTTGTTTGCCAATATATATTGCAACTAGTAAGTAGAAAAATGGTGATATTCCTGTGCAAATTAAGCTAAAATAGCATTCCGAAAGACTGCTACTCTGCAATCAGAAATGCAGATTTGTTTTTAGTGTAACCAGCGTTAACATTGATGCCATAATTTTGTAATTTCCGAAGAACCTAATAATCGAGAAACAGTGGCATTTCATTACTTCATCCGCAAATAAAAGCAGATAGGTTCCAGGGAAAAGATTTACAAGAAACATATTATTTCAGGTCTTTCCAGAATATGAGAAATTCTCATAAGATTAGCATTGTGACTCAAATCACATTACGTACGAATTGGTGATCCATGCACGCAACACAGATTACTCATAGACAAAGTCACCGCACACCACCTTCCGATCCATTCACGAATTTCATACATCTTACTTTGTACGATTTTGGACCAGCGGGCTACCATGCGTGAGCACTTCTCACACAGCGTATGCATCTGTTCCGTTTACATCCCACTACTCTGTCGCCCGTGTTTTATCTTACCGACTTTCGAAGTTCACTTAATTTCTCGCCCCTGGCCAATACGGTTAAATGACTTGCCTGACTCCAGTTGATTCCGATTTCAACGCGTCTGTCTCGTAAACCTAGCACTATCTCAGGTGAAAAAGCTCGATAGACAAATGTGAACGACACGCAACTATGTTTTCTGAATTGTTCTACAATAAGTTGAAAGTATTTCTACAGCCAGAAGTTCCACCCTTATTGACATTGTGGTTCAGTTTTGTCCGGTTTGTAGAACGTTAAGGTATACCAAAGATGTGCAAAAGTAAAAGAAGAACACAGTACACAAACATCAGTTTAGTTGCCTTAATGACGTTGGTCAACCAATCCTTTTCACGTATTAATCGCTTTATTCGAAACTCTTGACTCACTTTGGTGGTAAACACTGTAATAACCGCCGAAAACATATCACGCACCCTTCCTATGGCGACCCATTCCACTTTTGATATTCCAAATCTCAGCACCAAGGTTGGCGCCAACTCTGACTATACTGTAGGTCTTCCTGAATGCTGATTGTATCCACTCAACTGTGTAACAGATATATATATATGTATATGTCTTTCTACCCCATCAAGAGGTCTCATTATCGGTGATTTAGTCAACCACACCTCGTAAAGTTGGCCACAGCACAATAAATCCCATCGTGTTGTTTTCCTGTTGGAACACAACAAAGCGACCGGATAGTCGCGTTATTTCAGCTTCGGGCGGTAAGCAATGAAAAGAACTTTGATCTTTTTATTTCAGTTTATTGATTGTACACCCCTCTCCTCCGCTCTGGTAATGAAATTATCTTGTACTAAAGTTATTCCCTTGAAATATCTGATTTTGAAGATCCAAATAAGGATACTGGTGTTACACCTCAAGTTGTGATGCTAAGTGCGTAGCCAAACTACAAACTATTCCACTTTTAGTTGTGTTCAATTATCTACGCATTGGCCATCAGGTATTGATGATGAACAGTGATATCCTTTAAAGAAAACTGCTTTGTCGAGTGGAATTTCCTTTCAATAGTTGGTACTTTGTGGGCATATTGACTCCACACTGGGTGAGGTAGTAATGTCAGAGACATGCAAAACTGATCAGCCTAGTTTGCTAGGATAACAGTGAAGCGCTCTAATCCATTGTGATTTAACATATGAATAGGAAATATGAACGAACGCATTTATGTGAACGCAATCTAAGGAGCATAGGCACAGGCTTCCGAATACCCGATACCAAACGGACTTTTTTTCTACAAGCTTATCACTCTACTGTAATTCGATCTGGACCACATGCCATTTTGTGCTTTTGATGAATGGACCGAGTTTCGGTTTATACAATCACAACCTAGCACACGTTGCGAGATTTTCGGTTTTGGACTCTTGGCTACCCATCGGATTGAAAAACGATGAGGTGGAGCACAGAGTAATTGGGAAACCGAGGATCATCATAAATATGATGAATGCAGTTAAATTAATTCTGTGAAGGAAGTGAGTTTGAGCAACAGCACCTTATGTGATGAATATGACGAAATACCCTGACCAAGGTTTTCACAACATCATGCGAGGTAATAATTTGATCACTCTTGACCTTCTTTCATCCTTTACCTTCGTTGCCAAATCTCGCATGTTGATATAGTTCACATGGGAAAATGTGCAAAACATGTCTTCTCCATCACAATCTGCGTGGGTAGAGTAATTTCTTCAGTTTGCCCCGGCAATTACCAGAACCTCTGTACAGTTGTTTTGAATGAAACTGCACAATAAGTCCTAGTTTTTCAGTTCACAAATCATTCTTTACAGGGCAAAATTCACCCATGTAACGAGCAGCTCGCTTGTCTCCTACGGTTTAAAAGGTAATCATGTGATGGATTGTCGTCAGCTTATAACCGGCTAGTTATATGAACACAACATATTTTGGCCGTTTAAATGTATTACATTCAGATGGCTTAATCAAAATTTAAAAAAGAAAATCCAAACTTGATTTGATCTTTCTAGTCTATTCGAACAATTTAACTGATCTGTCCGTTTCGATACTGATGATTGAATACTAAATTTTTCTCTCGTTTCATTCAAACACACTTTTGTATCACAAACGAATATTGATACAATTGATCTTAAAAAATACTTTGGGCTGTTCAACTGAGTGCTCCACAGAAATCATTGATCAGTCAATAAAGCTTGTAACATTTTGGTACAAAGAATGTTTCGGTGTGATTGACATGAATATTTAATGTTATGGCGTACCAAATTATAGAACTCCGAAAAAGCATTGCGGTCATTTCATGATCGGAACAAAAACGGAAATATTTGGATGAAAATTTCAATGGACAGCTCTTGATCGCTCGAAGATCGGGCAAAAGAATTAACCTTAAATGAATTCTTGCATAAAATTCTTAATTCATTTGACATTCAAGGAGCGTGCTAGAGAAAGAAAAGCTTTGAAAAAGTGATTTCATGTGTGACAGATGACAACACTGTGGATTGGGAGTCAAAACGGTTTCGAGACACAAACATAGCATCAAATCATCCTGGCCTATTTGTTGAACTTGACAATCCGTTTGCAAATGCTTCATCACCAGCAGAGATACTATTTTCCAAGCTTGTGTTCCAAAAGAGCATCGATGGCTTTTTCAACACTAGTATAGTGTCATTGCAGACAAGGCTATATTAGCATGTGGATACCCACCAAACTCCAATGGAGTTGGAATCATAGAAAAACAACCCACAGATATCCTTTTTCCGTGAAGAGAACCGGCAATACAAGTAAGCGTTTAATTTTGAAGAGGCTTCTAACGGACGGATGTGAAATATTGAAGGGCTTCTCCGGAACGGTAGAGGTAAAACACTCTTCCAAAAGTATGTGGCAATCTAGCATTTATCAGAGCAAAGAATGAATACTACCTACTCCCTGCAACTACGTCTGTTTCAGTTGAAAACTTCATGGTTTCCGAATATTGCATGGTCACACATATCAAATTGGAGGACATAAAGTAAGATCTTGCTTGAAGTTAGATGAGAGACTCACGTAAGTTCTCTATCAAATACTCTGTTTGATCGCCACGAACAGTGTCTTCCGCCGGCCCCGGATGCATATCGCCCCATCGGATCAGGTATTTGGTGCCCGAGGGTAAGTAGCCCTGTGTGTCTTTCTCGTGCTTGTTAACAGAGAGACTGATACGCATAGGACGTGCCGAAGGTTCGGCCGTTCTACTTGGACCATTGCGCAACCCGACCATGATCAGATCACTTTCGGTTTCCGGGTTCACTCGTCTCAGTGCTACGGTCCATTTCAAATGAATGCTATTTTGTGTAGCGGTGGCACGCAGATTGTGTATCTAATGCGGATATATGTAGAAGAAAAACACGGGAATAAAAGTGTAACCGTTTAACAATCTGTTCTGATTTGTTAACGTATTCTACCGTTGTCTAAAATATCATTATTTGTGAGTGATTTTTTCTAAAACACCCTAGTTTGCTATTTGAGTAGTGTATACAAGCCATGTGTCCCATTATGCTATTTCAATACGGTAGAAAATAACGATGACGGGATAAGCAACATGGAGGTAACTTGGGGGATCATACTCATAGGCCAGAGATCAAAATTTAATCATTCATATTAGATCGATCAATGACCAATGAACTGTGCGTGACCTAATTTCATTCCTTCAGTAAAAAGAGCGATATTTACTGAAATCGGGTTTATTCATATGGATGTTCGACCTTGGTGATAAGAGAATAATTTGAAATATTAAATGTCGGAAAGATGAAGCGTTAGATTTATCTCAACCGCGTTCCAATAAATGATAAATACCCAAAGTAAATAATAACTGAGTCATATGGTATTCGGTAAACACAGGACATTTGATGTCAAAGCTCATTTCGGATCAGCCATTTTACTGGGATAAATTACGTTAAACACTACTGAAGACTGATTGTTCCCATAAAGTACCCCGACTTATGACAATAAAGATGAATAAATCACACTCCACTGCCAAACGAAACGACGTAGTCAATCGGTGGTCAGAGGAGGTAGAGTGGTGCAGTTAGACAATCAATTCCATCAACTGATTACAATTTGGTATCTCGCCTCTCCCGTCTCAATTTTATTACGAAACTTGACTTGGATCGCCAATCATACTATTATCGTTGATTTTTGTTATTTTATTAACTAATAAATCAATACTTATACTTACTGGATATGCAATGGTCCAGTCAGTATCAAGGAAGTAGAGTGCATGCAGTCAAAGATTGCTTGCGAAAGTCCAAAATGGGGAGATGAGCAACGGCGGAGGGGATTCGACATCACAACCTCTGGGTTGCCATAATGATGAGTGAACTACTCGGGCATCGCTGGATAGAGAAACTGCAGAAGATAATTACTCGCTTCAGTTGTTTTTAATAAACAAAAGAAATATTTCAGTATCTATCACTTAAAGTCAATCAGTCTGGATTGGCTCGGAGTAGATGAAAACTATGGTGCTTCGTTTGAAATTCCGCGTGTAAATGCCTACTGCGAAAAAAGAAGTGTTATATGTTGTTACCAACAAACAAAACAGTGCGCGAAGCTAATACCTTCTAGAGAAAACTAGTCAATTAATGCTAAAAGATTACACTATTCATTGGAAGATATCATGTAAGGTATTGAAGACAATCGGAGTTGCCGATTAGCTATTGTGTTAACATTCTATGAAAGTTGATCGCTGTATAAAACTGTATTTGTCCAACGCGGAGGAAACAGGCCGAGAAATGGTTGCATCATGATACGGCTTCTAAAAGATCAAATTAGTTTCATATCATCGCGATTGGTGATGAACGGAACCGTGGTTTGTTGCCGTCAGAAGAAGGGGGTGCTAAATGAGATGTCTGTGATCCCACCTTTTACAGAGCCATTCCGTACACAATGGTTCGGAAGTAACAAGCACAGTTCATTCGACAGAACCGACAATCAATCGGATTTTTAGGGTTGTGCATGGACGTCACGTAAACTGGGCTCATTCCCCACTGACCACAGACACTATAGGATCTGGTTAATCGACAAAACAATCTGTTCACGAACAGTGTGTCACAGAGATGTGGCAAACGAGACCCGCGGGGATTCCCAAGTGTGTGTGTGTGTGACCATTCATGCTGTCCCACCGCCTATGTGCTCTCGCGCGGTTTCTATCTCGAGTGCATTCTAGCCACATCGGGACAGCGAGCGAGAGAGATTGTGTGTTAGTTGCGCACCAAGGTGTGTAAAGTAAACACCTTTCAGAGGTCCAAGGGGGATGTTAGCGTAAACAAAATATAATGCGGTTCTATAGTCCACTCTGGCAAATGAGACTGACTGGTCCCCGTTGGGAATCCCACATCATAGAAGGTGGGTAGTGAATGTGCAAGTGCACACACTCGCGCGCGCGCATGATAGTAGTCATGCGGGGAAGAAACAAGGTCATTCCAAATCGGTTATTTTGCACCTCAAATAAAAAGTAGGGTTGGGAGAATGCAAATAATAAAATACACCGTTGAATGTATATTCTTTTCCAAGCCTGCGGTCCATTCTAAGCTTTTATCTGTGATATACATACAAGTCCCAGACATTTCCCACTCTCACCTGTGTGTGTGTGTGCGCGCGCGCGCACGCCTGTTCACATGAAATCTAATCACCGACAAGCACCAACCATGTTTCCAACATGGTCGGTTCGTAATCAAAGAAACTGGTCAATTTCTTCTGATCTGATTGTTTGTAGGCTAACAGAAGGAAACAAAATGTTTGGGTCAGATTTGGGGATCGGGGGGAGGTGATATCGGCGAGATGTGCCGATGGGGCTAGATGTATATGGAAAAAATTGGTCGAAAAGCGCTGTTGACGATTGGCTCCAAGTTGCGTGGTTTTACCACAAAGAACTGGGCTGGTTGGGTTATCTAGGTGTCAAACCACGTTATCGTAGTAGAGGGACAGAAAAAAGAACTGGACATTGGAGATATCAAGCCGGCGGGATCCAATAGCAGCATTGTGCAGTCATGTTGAATAGAGTGGATTAGGAGTGGGCTGAGGAAAAGCGAGGGTATAGAAACCACGGAGATAATCACTTCGTCCACTTGTGTCTTGACAACTAGAGCCTGCGGTTTTCGACTCGCTGTTAGGTTGGCAGAATGGCAGGTATCACATCACATTGAAAACGAATACCAATGAAATTGGAGAAATTAAGTGTTGAATACCAATAAATGATAACGGTGTATTATGACTGAACGAACGCATGGATTTTGTGCTATTATTTTCCACGCAGTCGTGTGCGATTCATAAGAATTGACGTTGGGCGGTATTTCAAACAAACAATTGCAATTATGGTAAAAAGTGGTAAACTGCTTTTTGAATACAATCTCATTTTTCAGTAGGCTAGACAAAAATAGATGTATAGTTTGACAAAGTGATCCAATTTTTATTTCAATGCAGAGTTCAGCTAGAGAAAATAACAGAGAAAGTAAAAATACGTTGCTGATGCCAAGTTGAGTGTTGCAGTGCTCTTCTGTGATAAACTCGGTCATATACTGAAAGAAGGAATTAAGAACCGAATTTCTAGGAAATTCTGTACAAATGTATGCTACCTTTTAGGTCTTATCGACAATGCAAATCCATTAACCTCAACTGAGCCATGTTTTGGTGGAATGGTAGTTTAGTATACTAGAATGAATACAAAAGGATAGCCGAAAACACGCCGAGGGAGTGATCGAGATGGATAAACTCTGAAAAGGCTGTCCGATATCACAACCGTATACCCAATATTTGACGATATTTCGAAATACAATCTTTTTTTCTGTTACAAATGGTAACTCGTATCAGACGCGTAATGCATTCTGTGGGTTGTTTGGACAGTCCGGAAGGATTCGGTAAAATTTGGATTGGTGTATTTTCATCGGGCTTATAACATGCCTTTGCCACCAGGACAGTAAGAAAAATACGAAGTCCCTACATAGACACGAAATTCACAGCTGACGAGTCCCACACAATACGAAACAGCTGTCCGGTGCTCTTTGTCGGTCATCACAAATATTTTCACTGTTTATCAAAGACTTTGATACGTTTGTACACATAGACTAGTCTTACTACTATACTAGTTGCAAAGTGAATTTGCGGTATTAGAATTCATCCAACCAATGAGATGATGCCCCATAACACCTGTAAATGGATGTAGCTATAGAAGTAAAAATCATGAGATAATAATAATATGAAGAAAAAGTCCCAGGGGTGTCGGCTCAGTTACCCTCACAAAAAGTATATTTATTATCAAGTACATAAGCAGCCGAATCTGGTAGAATGCGACACATTACTCCTAAAGTCTCACAAGCGATTACATCTAGTGTTCCAACATCGAGATTATGTCGTCCATTACGTATCTGAGCCTCTTATTCACAAATAATGGCTGTTACACTGGTATCAGACTGAGGGGTATAAATTACTGGAACAATCGAGGTAATAAGACCTTTTGTATGTGACATACAACTAATTGTCAAAAGAAATGCTCTGGTCGCATCTAAATAACGTTTATTTTCAGTTGTTTTTTTCTGAAACAAAACCTATTGGAGGTGAAAACGCTTGTGTCAAAATTTTAGTGTTCCACGGCATTTTAGTACCTGAAGGTTACTTTTTAAAGGTTCCACTCACAATGCAAACATCAATAAAGATTAAATAAAGATTACCACCGTTGAGAAAAAAACGATTTACCAATCACTACCTTCCAAGAGTGATACAACTGCAGAGATGATGACACATAAACTGAGTAAAGTTGTAGAAAAAGCTTTCCCGCAGCAAAACTGCTCATCGTGTTCAGGCCACTTTTGTGCTTCCAACTCAAGGATAAATTGCCTGCTTCTGCCGTCTCTTTTTGTGTGTACTTATTTACCTGTTCCTGTGGGGCAAGGTATATTGGCCACATGAGCAGACGTTTGTCCGAACGAGTCCGTGAGGACCACCCAGCCTGGCTGAATAGTGGAGTAATTATGACCATTAACAGCTCGATCGTTTCACACCTGGTGGGATCAAACCATGTGACTAATGTGACCGAGGCGTTTCGACCCCTCTACTTAGCTCGCAGCCGTCGATCCAAGAGGATTAGGAGTCGCATTCTGGCCACAGCGGAAGCGATCGGAATTCACCTACATAGTCTTCCATGTGCTTGCAAAAACAGGTCGTAAGAACACTCGGTCTTCCATGGCCAACACCACGCACGACACAGCCATCCCACCACCAACCCTTAATGACCCAAACCAATGCGCATGTGTGAGGACCAAAGTGTGAGCAACATCCGATCATGGAACTGCAATGTTGGTTATTTCTTTTCCAATTTTTCATAATTTCTCTCCTCCCTCCCTTCTAAACAGTTTGATATAAATTGTGATGTATTAACCTGTAGAAGAATCACCGCAAACGATCTTGTTCGCTACTCTGTTTTCTTACAACGTGTAAGAATGGTAAATCCGGACAATAAAAAAATGTTGAATAACGATTCGCTAATTGGGAGCACGTGACAAAAATTCGTCCTCATTCAACCTGACTTACTTTTGCGGGAACCATATACATTCCAGGATCTCCATAGGTATTTCTATCATCCACTATCCATTCCTGTCTGGAACTGAGACCCTCGTAAAACTCATTACCCCATTCCTCTGGATCTTCACTGACCAGCGCGGCTCCTTCCACATCCTCCTCATCGTCCAGATCCACACGGGGTGTCTCACCCCCAGTACGGAAATTTAGTGGTTTCGACGCGACTCCAACACCACCACGCGTAGTAGCTGCCACTTGAACTGTGTACTGCGTTCCCGGGACCAAATCTATCATTCGATCAATTCAAAGAAACCGATGAAATGAGATGCAATCCTGGATTGACGTTTAAATAATGCTGAAACATGTATCATTTTGGTCCATGATTACAGAAAAACTAATTTGAACTCTCAAAATTGATTTCCAGGGTACTTAATGTAATTTGAAATAACGTACAATGTGTGGTCAAACAAACAGACTGAGTATGATAACCGTTAGGGTGCATCGTTTTTGAGCTCACAACAAGCTTGCAACAAAATACGAAAGAAGTGTTTGACGCTCTGGTCCACGTCAATGGGATCTTGTCATTATGGCGGATAAGAAAGGTTGATACCACATAAAGCTGATTTGCAGTAAGGAGGGAATCCAACGCTTTGAGTGGGCAACAGGTTTCACGGTCTTGGGGTGAAATGAATCTCCGGGACAAAATATTAATCATTGAGGTAGAATTATATGGAATGCACAAGACTAGTACAGCTGGGCATTGGCACGGAAAAGGCAAATGGTCAAACAAATGGAGGAAATTAAAAGGTGGGGTGGATTAAACAGACACATTTCCCATATTCACAAAATGCTCATTATCATTCATGAGAGAATTGTGGCTCAGTTATTTCGCATGATAACAGGGAAATGTTTATTACAATTGGTATATACTGTCTCCCACTGAAATGAATTTTAAAACAGAGGTTGCTCTCAGCAGACCATTTCCGAACGTATAGCGGGTTCCACTGGACTGGTGAAATCAAGAAACGAAGTGCTTCAAATCATCAACAAAAATAAACTGGACGTGGGGTTGTTATCAATAACCATCTTGCAATTTCGAAATGCCAAACACCATAATCTTTGTGGTTTATTAATGATTTATTATTAATGGTTTATTAAGTACTCACTACAGTGTCTATGGAAAGCTCGCCATTCACTGTCTGAGATCATTGGTTTAGCAAATAAAGATTTTGGATGAATCAAGGTGAAAATACTGAGGACAGACAAATGCAGCATGCATAACCCAAGTTCAAAATCAAAGCAAGGCACGACAAAGAGCAACAGTGGTGTGTTTATTTTGATTCCCAATAAAAATGACAGTTTCTGGGGTACAGCCTATGTCGGGGGATGGAATTTGTGTCCACCGGAATTTTAATAGAAACATATCTTTATCGGAAGTGGGTGTTAATAGGTCCCAATTCGGTCATCAAACGTGTGTGTGTGTCAGGAGTGAAGGAAGTTGGCGCGCTCTCTCAAACAATGTCCCCAGCACTACTGCCGGTTGTTTGGACGTCACTTAGCTGAGAATTATGAACGGCTTCCGTACCCAACGCCAAATAAATTCACCATCAAAAGCGTTCACCGTGTACTTCGAGATGACAAAGCAAAGTGTCGAATACAGCACACAATATGGGGACAGTAATAAAAAGTACTGATTTTCCGTGGACGACCGATTATCAAGTTTTGTGGGAGTATTGGGATTTTCGACGGTCGGGTACAGTCACGTCTGCAGGAACCAGAGGCACAAGCACAGGCACACACCCGGTTTAGGGGTGTCTGAACATACGTATGAGAACGTGGAGGTGCAGTACGCGAATTGGAAAACAATTAATAGTCAGACGAGATCCGTTTGGCTCATACACGCCACAATTAGACAAACACAAGAATTACTTGGATGAGACAGGAGAAAAAATTGGCTCACGGAACACATTCATTCGGTATGACTTTAAGCACGTGTGGCTATTTGAGCGGTCCGCGTAAGCCTTGTTCTTTTGCTAAACTGAAAAAGGGGATGTCAAATGAGCTGTATTCACGTCTCATACTGCAGGGCTTGAAAATTATTTTAATAGTGTAAGAATGCGGGGGGGGGCATTTCGAGGAGGAAAATCCGACGACATACATACAGAAGATGTGCACGCACACACACACACACACACACAGACACCCAGAGGGATACGTCACGGTATGGCACGAGCAAAGGCGACACACAAACAGTTGATTTCTATCAGAAGCAGACAGCCGGCTAACAGCTGTTCGCTAACAACTGGTTTATTAATAAAATGAATGTATTTCAGGCACCCAACTCAGTATCTATCAAAAAAGCTCGCTTACAATAAATGTTGTATATGCACTATTGTTTGGGTGTCTGCTTGTGCACACCAGAGAGTGGTGATAGAAGGATTAACGGTTTTGGATGCCCCGTTTTTATTTGCATGAAAGTAAAAAGTAATGAGTGAAGAGCTGCGGTCTAGTTACATCATTTAACAGGGTAAGTGCACCGTATCGCAATCTAATTTTTGACATTTTCCCATTACTCTATATGAACTTGGGAACAAAATAATATTGAAGTAACTGATATGCCCTTGCGATCAAAGTGTTGGTCGTAGACCATATACGAACTATCTTTGAGTTTAATAGGATAACCGTTTTCCGGACTAGCTCAGAAAACTAGTTCATGTATCTATGACCAATCGAGTGTTGGCATAATGTCATCATCGCATGAACTTTTCCATTCCGAATTTTCCTAAGTGTGCGTCGCTCCATAACTGATTCTCCTTTGGTGATTCTCTACCAACGCTTTGCAGCATAGAATTCATAACCTGTTCTGAGCGGATTCGACAAACATGCGACCGATCGGGTTCAGTAATCGATCGGTCCGATGGCTCAGCTGCAACAAAGGATGTGCTGTTTGTCCAGCGAGAACCCGTACCTTGTTCACACCACCGAGTGTTAAGCATGCCCGGTGAACTTTGACTGCGTACAGCAGGAGTGCCATCATCATACGGCTAGATTAAAGGTGACAAGCATTAAGAAGGGATGATCAGACAGTCTGGTGTCAGCTTGGCTAATTCCGCGATTTCGCGGAAAATGATCAAATCAGAGCACAGAGAGGGTCAGAGGGAATTTAATTGTTTCAGGTCACGGTGAGAGAGACAAGATTATATGAGATGATGCAGCGGTCGCACCTTAGTTGTGGGGTAACGATTTCAACTCCCAGCACAGAAAACATTGCCCAAGTGTTCCAAGTAGGAGAAAACCAGCTGTCTAATGCTCTTTGTCAACTATCACACAGTTTGACATACATTTATAACCTACTCACAATTGGAAGCAAAATAGTCCGCGGATTTGGTATAGTTCAGTTCATTTCAGTTTAGACAACTGTTAATTATGCATATCGGTGAGACGCTTTGGGTTGCTATCTTTTGGCTGCCTATTTGGGTGAACAATAGGAGGAAAAAAATGGCTGAAAGTAGCATCGAAGAGATTTGGTATACTCAATAACATAGCCGTATTACAGCGCACTACTGTGTTTTGCAAGTTGAAATGCCTACGGTTAAACCAGTTAACCGACAGGTGGATCGACTAACTGGCTAACTCACCGCAGCCGAGTGAATATCTATAGCAGGTTGGCCGAATAATTCGACACCAAGACCTGCTTATATGGTTGAATAGGTACTGGAGTTTGTTCTTGATTGCTTTAGCTTCTTCCGATTCCTTCACAATTATGTAGTCATTTAAATGAAGTGATTTTGTGTTTGCCTGTCTGAAGCTGAGTCGCGGAACTAGTAAAATTCATTATATTTCGTTAAACACTCTGTAACCAAATAGTTGAGGCTAGAGGTATTTTCATTTGAATCCGTTTCCATAATAAGGAAAAAATGAAGCAAAATTCAGAAGAAATTTTCGTACAAACAAACTGGAGCTTTTAAAGATTTCTTCAATATATTGTTTTCCGGTTAGATAAATGTACAGACAACTGGTGAGGATAACTTTCTTTTAGCCTACTAGATTATTTATTTCATCTACATCAAAGGGAAATATTTTTTCGAACCTTCACTCTGCCCTCCGTTCTTTCGCACAAAACTTTGGAGCTGAATCACATAATCTCCGGCAGTTCTTCGGCAGAATCGGCTAAGAGGGTTAACATCTATTTCCTCGTGTCCCATTCACTTCAAGGGGTTCCTCTCGCCACAAAGTCTGAGGTTGTTCATTGCACTCAACAATCTTGGTTCAGTGGTACAATATGAAGACGACAACAGGTAAAACAGGGCCAAACTTAGAGGTGGAACCGATCTAGTTGAACAGATGAAAACTCCACTGCCATCGGCAAGGAAGTGTTAATAAACAAATTGTTTGGCTCATTGAAGCGTTGATGTCCACCCGATTTACGATCAAGCATTTACTTAACCTTATCGGAACACGGCTTCTTTGTATCCTAAAAACTATATTCTGGATGAATGATGCGGTCTTAGAACGAAATACTCTTTAAAACCAGTTAGCCCGTTGGTGTTCATAAAAGCGTTAAATGTAACATTTGTTTGTTCCTGTGGGATGAACTTGATACACATATATGCGTTACTTATTACGAAATATATGTATAAATTCTCAAAGACAATTTACATTGAATTCGACTAAAAATAAGATTGAGGCCTATTTTCGCGTTCATCAGCGCTATTCAAAAATATATCGGAAGAATAAATGAGCCCCACATGTCACACAGATATCCCACGCCCCGCACCCTCGCCCAGACCGCACGTGTCATGGAAGTATAAACACTGTTGTTTTTTATATCTTCACTTTCTGATAGCATCAACATATGGCGAATGACGAGAGAACAGCTTACCGTTGACCACATAGCTGCGCTTCTCGCGGGGCACTTTGATAATCATGGGCTCAAGTAAACGTGACGAATTGATAGAGATCACATAGTTGATAAGCTCGCCGGTACAGTCAGCTCCGTCCGGCGGTTCCCAAGCCACCTTGGCGTTCTGAATCCCTCGGGCGGTTACTTTGATCTAGGATAAAACGGAATATATAGACAACGGTTTGTGCACGGTTTGGGGGTCCATCTGATCAATCCACATGAACATTTGTTCAATTATGCGGCAAGTAATATAACTGGATGAGGTCGTGCACCGATGAAACCACTTTAGTCATGTTTAACTTGTGTCTAGAGAACATTTCGACTCTGATTCACTAATTTAGGGAAAACTATAAACAAATGTCATGGTACATAACTATTGTTCAAAAAAGAAAGATGCTCTAAAATGTAATGGCAAATCGAATTTTGAAACTACGGAGTTTTTCTGAAATTGAAAATGGCACCGACACAGAACCAAATACTGGCAGCACGAACAAAAGTTTTGATGTTAACAATACTTATCAGTTAATGCATCAAGTACACTTTTCTAATTAGTGAGCTCTTTTATATGAATGAAGGGATTTCAGGGATTTGGTTCTAATCAAACTAGTCCTAGTCGATTACCTTTTCAAATGATTATTCCCAAACGATCGTTAAACTGAAAATTTCCTCTGTTTGCAGAGCATAACATTTCGATTGTGTACTGGCACTGAACTTCTCCTGTGATTAATTGATCCTTGTTTAAATACCTTGTGACACTGCTTTAATAGTTCTCTGATTTCGCTTCTTTGGAATAATCTGGACAATGATGTATGCCTCAGTTTGATTCCCTGTTGTGATGTTTGGCAACCATTGACTCGAAATAGTTTGGGACCTCAAACGGGATCTCTATCTCCTGCAAAAGTTTCAAAGGAGACTTTAAGTGGTTTGGAGTATCGCCAAACCTAAATCATTAGCATAAACGGTTTGAAGTGCGTAGAAAGAAGACAATGGTGATTTTGTAAAGCACAGATGAGGTAATAAAGTGCGGCTCCGAATGAGCGTTTCTAGGGCGTATTTCACAATAACCGCATAAAAGCTGCGTATGCTATCTTCTCAGTCGATGTTAAATCTATGAATTTTCGCAAACTCGTATGCACCATTATAAACCATAACCTTCTGAAAAAGGTACAATTAAAACAAAGAAGATTCCGAAATCTTTCAAAAAGAGTGAGATTTCAGAGGTAAATCATAAATGACTTTCATCCAATTTCGTTTTTAAAGCACGTCGTACATATATGTTGTTACCTGTCACTTTTAACACCAGAATATTCGATAGTGTGAAAACTGAACTACATTCCACTGTAAAAACAAATTAGAAAAAGACGTCAACTGAACCTAAGGGATCAGGATGGTGGATAGTTTTAGTGCAAAGCCGACGGATAACTAAAATCACGTATTGCTCAGATATTCAAATTCACTGATACAACTTGTGCCACTAACACCTTGATCCTATTTAATACCGTTAATGGTGAGTTTGTGCGAATGCATATATATTTGCCTTCGTGTGTTGAATGAAAATGAAGTTACAGTTTGTTTTGACTAACATTAAACTCGTCATCAACCTCATTTAATTGAATAAATTGTTCAGCGGCCAATGAATAGTAAAACGTACTGCATGGCAACAGTCGTGCCAGAGCGGCGTCTGAACACAACGTTAGGTACGGATTGGAGGTTCACTGAATTCTATCAAACATTTTGCACACGGACCAGTTAATTTGAGTGTATGTCTCCAATCACGTCTGAGCTGTGTATCCAAAGTGACTTATGCCACTGGGAACTGGTTCCATACCAGTTAAAGTACAGTCCCAGATGATTTTACCTCCACTGACTCATCCTTGTTATGGTGTTCTAATCCGAAGTGGGAACATGGACAGTTTAGGCAATGCCAGGTACGGAACCGTTTTATTTTTATTTCAGTTCAAAGAGGAAAACAGCCGCTACTTGTTCTCAAAATTGTTAGCCACTGCATGGAAGCGGCACTATGCGGAATCCGTCAGGGTCGTGTCACGGATCATCACCACCGAACAGTTAGTGTGAGTGCATTTTGTACCGAAAGGAATATGGTCTGTCTTCTTACGGGAATCAAAGGCGTCTCAATTCAGTGTGTTAGCAGACTTCAGATATTATAATAATGACTGTCCACTCATAGGCCTGGTAGGATCCCCGGTTTTATGATCCAGAGGACTATGTTAACAGTTTCACAAGGTCCACATATAGTACCAGCCTAGATGAATCAAACCAAAGGGGACCCCCGGGAAGATCGATTTCATAGCTCCGACAAATGATTTCCGGGGAAACCTCGTCAAGAAGTGTTGAGCTTAATGCTTGAAATAGTGAACCAAGCATAGAAAACCGTTAACAGTTTAAAAAACGTGGAGGTAAACGAATTTTAACTCTCAGATTCTTTAGTGTGTTCGATTTTAAAAATACTGTAACGTTTTCTGTACTGATGTTTAGAATGCACGTGTCGGATGCGAACAGTTATATTATGGATTTGCAATCAGTGGAGTTTTCTTTTTTTCTAACTGGGGACAGGGAACGATTTGAGAAGCACACACTTCTGACTAACCGTTCGAATTTATTCAATGATGAACAAGGGTCACGGAAATTGAAACCCAAGAGCAAACCATAACATGAGTTTAAATGGTATCATAACTCTCTATAGTTAAGTTTCAGACAAGCAATCGCATTGTCTCGAAATGAATCAACATTCACGGTCATTACCGAATCCCACCTAGCACCTAAAACTTGATTAGTAATAAACCGAAAGACGGTTTGATTCGCCTTATTAGGCTTGATCCGAGGGGCCAAACGGAGTTGCTCCAGCAACTACAGTTTACCAAAACCTATTCGGGTCCAGTTCGCACGCGGATCGTCCACGAGCAACTCCATGCAACAACTGACCTCACTAACCTATTCATGTAAATACACCAGGTGTATGACGGAATATTCATTATGACTAGTATTCTAACCGCAAATTGAGCTTAGTCCGCGCTTGCATAACATCTATTGCTATTGTGGTTAGTGCAAATATTACAGCAAAAGATTACGCGTTTAGGTTTTTGGATTATATCCTTTCCAATGAAGCATTCCAATCAATCTCACAACAACAAACAACACATTTTGTTTGTGAATAAATCAACCCGCCGGGTTTTTTAGCCGTTCAAGTGAATGCCTGTTAACCGTGTTTCGCATGCATTTGATCAATCAGGATTTTCCACCAATTTTGGAAATTCCAAAACGAGCGAATAGGACTTTGAAGGGCGAAAAAATGATCAATTATGATATTTCATCAGCTCTGTGGTGGTAATAGTAGAAATTCTTTATTAAAATGATGGTGTTCCGCACATTGATATAGAATCTCGTTCTGAATAGCCGAAAATGCCAGTACATTTTGGGAAGATAATATTTCGAACCAAATAAAATAGGTCACGGAATTCGCTAAAGTCGAAGATGAAATTAAAAGGAGAAGCCAGTATAGCAACATTGCACGATTTATGTCCTGGACGATTTCGCTGCATCTCAACTGGTGCCTACTGCAGACAAATACAATGTTTATATATGGTTTGGGAATGAATTACAAAATAAACACTTGTAAATGGGGGAAAGCCTCACTAAGGCAAAGCCAAGGTGATGAACAAGTCTTCTTGTTGACACAGAATTGGTTACCATCGGTTGATTGCAATCGCCTCGGCTATCTTGAGCATTCTGGTGTTATCGCCGGTAAAAATCACTCGAAATGCTTTCTCACGATCCACGATGTGTTGCGTCATCAAAAAGTGCTTGGCAATCGAATATCTTGGTGGTTTGTAATCACGGACCTTACCAGTTACCAGCTGTGTGGACTTTGTCATGGCAACCTTGCACTGAACCCAGTTCGGAATGTGTTTTAATTAATTACCTTTCTGTTCTGCCTGTGTAAGTGTCTCCGTACCCAACCTGGAATTGATAGATTACGTTTGAGTTGGTGTACAGAACAGGGCGTTCTTTAGCCGGGGGGGAGGGGTATAATCCTTGCCCTGTGCACAATTCTGAGTTGGGCTGCCTAATAAGTCTAGTTGACGACCAACCGTAACCGTTGAAGATATCTTTTTGTATTCGGGACAATCCGATAGCTGATTCCGTGTTTGAGTAGTCACCGTGATAAATTATTTCAGACCAGTGTTCGGTAGAATGCAACGAAATAAAGCATTGTGAACAAAAAGTCGAACGAATATTACACTATATTAGTTCATGTTTTTTAGGCATTCTTATCCTGATAAGCGGTTGGGTTTGTAGGTAGTAAGCTACCCGTCAACGCGAATATACTCATTACCAGATAAAAATCATCCTTATTCCCATAAGTAGCTAACTGATCCGGTTTTCATCACCCTGAGGGGTATATTTTTATGACACCAAAATCGAATGAAACGTAATCACACTGTGCTGGATCGATTGATAATGAATCGAATTAAAGCATGTGCAAGAAAAAGAATTATTTAGCGCTTTATTACATATCTTGGCAACATGTGTTGAAGCTTAGCACTACGTTTTCGCGTAAAATTGTTTGATTGAAACAGTAATGTAGCACCATATTGGTGAACTATTGATCAACGTGTGCCCAGATTGCTAATTGCGGTTATTGCTCTGCGACTCAGTATTTGTCAAGAATTTCGGCATATGATTATCAAACAGTAGGCGATGGATAATGTACACAGAATGAATTCGAAAACTTCCATGGACTCACATCTCTCGGCGCTGTCCTCGGAGCCAAAGCTGGTACTCGGGGCGATGAAGGCATTGAAGCTGGTGGACTTCGTTGAGTACCAGCCATGGCAAATAGAAGAACACGATAGAAATTGTCCGGAGGTAGTCCAGAAACCACAGTCCACGAAGATGGGGCTGTGACATTGATAGTCAATTGGCCTTGGTTTAGGGTACGTTCATAAACGGATACATCCCGATCGGTCAGATTGAATGCGTTACGATAAGCCATACATCGACTGTCCTCCTCCTTGTTTGGTACCTCACCCAAACTGATCAATACCAACCTGCCATAAATACGGGAGTGGAGTCAATATGAACACACCGTAGACCACAGTAATCTTATCTATCTCTCAGTTACCCACATAGCTTGGAATTATTTCAGGTGTCAAAACAAATAAACACCACAGATGCATTGCGCTACTGGATTTTAGCCGTCATCATCATCATCAAAAGCGGCAGCAATCCACACTGTTCAAAGTGTTTACTGCACGGTAGATAACAAGTTTGATTATCTGCCGCAATCTGCCAAACGACTACTCTGACCCAAAATCGGTATAAGCGGCACTGGACAAAAAAGTTCACTCTGCACTCAGCTAAAGTATTCCGCTACGTCGGCGTCCTGAAGTGTGCCCAGAGTGGAATAAATCACTTGCATCAAATGGATAGCTTTCCAATATGAGATATTTACGGGAAGCTACGCTTACTGTTTTTCAAAAATGTCAAAAAATTTCATTTAACTTATTTTTATTGCGGTCCGCAGTTCATACAGGAAAGAATAGCAAGATATTCAAATAACATCGGAAAGAAGAACACACGAAAACCAATTTGCATATATCCTTGCGCATTGAATGAAAAGTATACGATTTGATAACCGACAACGAGTACTGGAGATCTATTTTGTTCTTGTTGGCACTCATACCAGTAATGTGTACGACTTCAAGCCCTCTCGGATTAGGGGAATTGATTCTGACTCCCGACCCCAAATTTCCCGTTGGAGCCCGGAGAAGGATAACAAAATAGTACGTACCAATAAAGAAGAAACAACTGTTTGACGCGCAGTTCCATTCATCCATGTACTAAATCGTGTACCATATGCTATACTGTATACTATATATGTAAAGGGGAAAATAACAAATTTCAAAGAAATTTGATCCACACTTCACGCAATATGCTCACCCTGGTGATTTAACACAAACAATACAAGGAACTTTGAAATTTCTTAGCCTAACGACTACAGTCTAAACGTCCCCCCGGAAAAGAACAACAGAAGACGACCTATAAAAAGTTCATTTTAGACCTGATGCACATTAGTTATCACTGTGACTTGAGTGTTTTAACACGATATTGAGATTTTTTGGGCAAAGATTAAATACTGGAAACTGCGACTTCACTCCTTTAGCTGTTGAATGCATTTAGACATAGATGGATTTTCCATTGACAAATACGTTCTTGTTTTTCATTACCCTAAATTCGTGCATTGTTTTTGGTCGTTCTTAGCATTGCATTTAGTGGGGTTTAATACGACTTTTACCCTTTGATTTCTTGAGTAGTTCATAAAGTCCTTTAGTCTTCACAGTTATCTTTGTCAATAATCATTCTAGTAGAATTATTTTTTGAAAATTCTCTGCATTTCTTCTCAGAATAGTTTCCCGTCGTTTTCCATTCGTAATGAACATTACGAGGATGGGAACGCAAAGGAAACTGGAAACTTTCTCTCCCTCGCAGGAGTCCACAGATTTGCTCGAAGGAGTTCCTTAATAAATGAAGTATCTTGATTTTCTTCCAGATGGAATCTAACTCCTCCGAGTGATCAAGCTGGTTATTCTTGTTTGGTTGCAGTTCTATATCATCCGAGGTTGATCAGATTTGAAAAACTCCACCGTCCTTTGGGTGAATTCCCCCGAATCGTTGGACCTTATCAAGTCAGTGTCCGTTGCTTTCCCCAAAGTTTTCACTTCTAATGTGGTCCCAAAAAACGTTGCTCAATACCAAAATGTCTGAGCTTGGTTTGCTGATTAGTTGAACGGAACGACTCTGCAAAACTCCACAGTTTATCCATCGAGTTCCTTTTAAACACGATCTGGCGGACAATAGTGGCTGTTTCTCCCTGGTCCTTGCAACAAAGCGTAACTGTTTGAACAGTCCGCCAGAGCACTTTTTCAATGGAATAAAGAGTAACAAATAATCTAGTTTTCAGTGATTCATAATCTTATCAATACGTCACAACAAATATCACCATGATTTTATATGTATCATTATTCAGCTACAAAAACTAAATAATTGTTTTGGGAAAGGGGAAATTACCATCACAGGTTATTTGGGGTTAATCTCTTCTTCGAACACGATATGGGATTCTTAAAGATATTATAATTTCACAGAATGAATTCGCCATCTATAGCACAAGTGAATCTTGAATTGGAAAGCTGGGAAGCACTGTTTAGCTGTTTTGACCTGGTTGGGTCTCCTCAGCAGTTCGAATCCATCGACTCAACTGGCAGAACGCAAGCATGCTACCCTCTCGGCCACCGGATAGCTGATCAGACCGTTTTTCATTTTCCATTTACAGGATATAACACAACCCATCTTTGTCAGTTTGTTGCAGGTATCGCACCTCGTTCAGCTTAGTACTAGCCCCAGTGTTATGACTCGGCTGGAAACTTTCCGGACTACTTCTGGTGTAATTACTTAACTGCATGGTTATTAGGTCATTCGATCGTTGGGACTACTTGGGATAGGGGGAGGGGGGATGGATGGGTCAGGGAAGCTTAAGCGTCTGCACAAATTGTTTTCGGCACATATAGAGAGGTTGTGTAGATAAATGGCTACCGCTTTCGCTATGGCAAGTACACGGTATCGAACCGGTCTTGATAGTAGACTACGAACTCGACGCAGAAGGCGAAATGTCTTGGTCACATTCACAAGGTGATTTGTTTCAACTAGGTATGAAACCATTGCACTAGTAAGTGACCTAATCGTTACTGTATTTAGCCATGCGGGGTGGTGATCTCGGATCCTTTTGGATAAACGCCTATGTAAGTTGTTTCACAGGAGCACGTAAACGAGTACGCGAGAAATGAGACGGCAGAATCCGGCATTTTGTCCTGTAGTTGTACACTCAAAACTTGCTGGGATGTGAACAAAACATAGAGCTATGCTGTTTATAAGGTCTTACTGACAGCATTAGATAGTCTCCTCTGTATTTTCTCTGCTGATGTATCCCCTCTGAACGGCAGGGCAATGCGTACCGAATTCTTTACGACCTCTATCTTCTTCACAATATCTCCATCTCACTGAATCATCTTGCTAACCAGTCTTTCCGGATTGCCATTTTGTGTGAAGATGGTACAAACTGGAGCTCGTCCACTTTGTGCCCTCAATGAAAATCTTCCTTGCTGTATCTTCTAGGCAGCGTACTAAATTCCTCTTCACTTTGAGTGGTACAGAGCTGCGAAAATGAATATATTGGCCCTTCCAAGTAGCCCTCCTGTGCACTAATCGTTGCACTGAGCCACCCGATTTACAACTTAGACAGACGTCTAGAAATGCTAGTTTGTTGTCGTTTTCCATTTTCAAAGTAAATCTTGTGTTATGGTGAGCAGCAGTGAGCTTACTGAATAACTCGCTTATTCCAGATATCGTGTTGATTGCGCACAGAATATCATCCATCTATCGTATATGGTACACAATTCTGCATGGAATACCTAACTTGGTTAGTTTCCAGTTTCGCCATGAACACATCGTTAACTGCTAATTCACCAATGATCATATTCGTTTGAGGATTCGTGGAGTCATAATTTGTCTTGTACTCACTCCATCTGAGTGTGTCTTCAATGTGTACTAAGAAGCCGTGAACTGTCATTTGATCTATCATTGCACACATTTATAGCCACAATAAAGCAACTTGGCAAAGAGGACAGAAAATTGAGTCAACCANGGCTCATTTTTTGCGGCCGGGATCCAGGATATGTTAAAAGTACCAAAGCGAATAGGAACGATCTGTAAATTGCGCGGTGGGAGCAGACGATGATCGATGGCTGCATATGCCTCTGCTACGGGGAGGAATTAGGGCAAACGTGAGCGCGGGGAAGATGAAATCGAAACGGAGTCAAAAGCAAAACAAACAACTGACATAATACAACGCATTCATCATTTTGTTTTCTGCATGAGAGATCACGTAACTCATTGCATTACCAGACAGACTGCTTTGCCAAATCTATCCACAGCACTATGTGCAAGTCTTTTATCCGTAACCTATACCAAAGTGGCATCATCGGCCTTGGAAAAGATAACTTAGTCACTCTACTATCCTCGCTGCCCCACCCCCTGCAGGTAGTGTGCCGCCCTAGATATTGTGTAGTAACAGAAGACATTGGAACAGCGAAAGTTGTTCCGAAAAGGCGTCCATAAACACACCCGGCTGATCTAAGCTGGCAAACAATGTGTCAGAATTGTGCACAATGAATCACATTCGGTTTGACCAGAACATCGATCAGTTGGTTCATATCAATCGTAAATGTAAACTAACCCCATCGGTTTCTATCGATTAATTATTGTTATTAAATTGTTTGAGGAAAAGAAATAAAGCAAACTAACACATTCTCTGAACTTAGCCGCCTTGAAGAGAAATCAGTAGCAGATTTACGTTGCACAGTTTATATCCGGATATATTTCGCTTTATTTCGTGAGGTTTCTACTACGGATAGTGTTTACCCAATGATCATGACAAACTGATGAAACTACCGGCAATAAGTTCCCGATTGTCATTGTTTTACCAAGGAAACGCAGGAGTACTCGTTGACTCCCTTTCCTTGCTCAAAGTGTTCCATTCTATTCTATTCTTCTATTTTTGAATCGCACTGGCCTCACTAAATTGCAGTAAACGTTAATCGATTTTGGATAGGATTGCTGACGACGAAGTTGAACCAATGCTTTTTGCTTTAAAACGCACAACACCTGTGTCCACTGGTGTTCCCGCATTAATTGACAGAAGATACACAAGGTACTTCCGTCCCATTCACAATACACTCAAAGGAACCAACCAAATCACCATTCACCTTCAAGATCTCGCCCCCAGATATACCCTTCTTCTTAATCGTTCCATTAGTCTCGTTTCCTCGTTGTTTTGTTCCTGTCCCAAACCACATGCTTAACCAGTGCCGCCCTTTTGAAGCTCTATTTATCTGTAACGACACAATCACATCTCTACTGAAATCATTCAGAAGACAGAAGGAGCAATTCTACAAATCTAGAAATTCATTCGCTTTCCAGTAAAATACCAATCTGACCAAAGCTAAAATTCAAACGTCTCTCTATGTCGTGCGTCTCCCATTTTCTGCAATGTAACAATGGTGAGCGAATTTGCAATGTATCCAATTGCTGTACGGGATCGAAACCAAAACTCCGAACTGTACAACGGTTTCGGTAAAGTAGCATTCATTCTCCCATCAAGCGATGTCATCATGCCATTTGGTCTGAAGAGACAGTTTCGAAAGCAGAAACTCTCAAGCTCATGCGTACCATGAAATCACATTCAGTGCTGGCCCCTGGGTCTTTCATCTTTAGTTCTGAGACATGGGGCCTTTCCTATCAGTGAACTACTAGTATCAATTTTCAACAATTCCTTCAAAACTTGCTCGATATGAGAATTTTTAGTCAGTAGCAATTGTTTCCATTCCCAAATCCTCTATTTCAATCATTCTAACTAACGCTTCTGCCCTATCGCTTAAACTTCTGTTGGTCCCAAATTAGCCGAACGTCTTTTCCCAACGCGCATTCAGATCACACTTGATGTCCTGTATGGTATTCTTCAGTTTGCCTACAAAACAAACTAGACTTCGTTTTCTCAGTTGTACATAAAATTACCAAATCCTTGAATGGTTGTGAAATATTTTAGTTGTTTTTCTAGACTACTCATCCGTTTTAGAATCCATTCCTGGTTCCTAGTTCGGCTGCTGATTACTTCTCCGGGAGAACTTAGTGTACCGGACTAGGTTGGAGGAAGTCTAACCATTGGTGAACAATTATGGGGTACTCCAGGATGCAGTGCTTTCCCCATGCTTAGTTTCTAAGTATATTAGCGACTTGTCTGCTAGCGCCCCTACTTCTCTATTCAAATACACTGATGATGTAGTTTTATATCTAGCCCTTTGCGATTCTTCTGATCTTTCACAATTTTCTGACAACTGGGAAAATGTTTAACAATGTTCTGTTAAATCCGGTCTCCGTTTTAATCCTTTCATTTGTTTGGAGTGTCTCTTTAAGTTATCACGTTCTTCTTTCTCATCTGAACCAGGTATCGATTGGCTCTGAACCAGAATCCCGACAAAGCTGTATTAAATACCTGGGGTAGTTTAGCGACGCTAACCTTCACTGGACCCCTCACATTCAACATACCGTCAACATACTTCGACAACTTTCCTTCCATATATGTGAATTTTGTCATTTACGTATTCAACAATCGTCTACCGGTGTTCTTTCCTCGATTTACTCTATTGTTTACCCATTGTTTTTTCCAATTTCCTAAAAAGGACTATAAACTGCTTCGGCGTGGACCGACAATCATTAGCCGCGTCTCGTCGATACCGCTGGAGGGGTTGATAAATAACCTTTGCGGACGACATTTGAATGCTTGTGAAAAGTTGGCACGTAAGGTTTTTGTCGATCTCAGACATTCACGACAGATATTTAACTTCTTGTCGTTCCGATCCATCAGCTGAATCTCAATATCATTGTGTTACTCTTAAAAAAAAATATAGAGTAATTCCAAGGTGCCCCATTTAGCACGTATTTCAGTTACCAGAGATCAGGTTTTCGCAGACTTTTTTAAAATTCCGGGATGTAACATTTCTTCGTTTTTCCATTGCTCTTTACAATTTGTACACTTTTAACTGAACTGTAGCCTTTACGTCAACAAAAGATATGAGTACAATTATAAATGATCGTTTCAGTCCCCAAGAAGGCATCTTGAATCCACTGTGCAAACCACCACGGTATAAGTTGGATGCTATTTGTCAGTAGTATTATTCTATGTCATACTTCGACATGATACACTCATAAGGTAATCAAAAATTCGCAAACGGGATTTTGATCGGTTCGCGGTCATATTGACCACATCTTCACATTGCATTTGGACTCGGAGTCCTCCCAATGTGTAGAAAAAGGAGCCTTCGACGCAGCAAAACGCGAAACACTAATTGGACCCCTTATTCGCAAAGAAATATCGCAAAATTAGGCAAACACATTGTGGATTTAAAGCGAGCTAAGTAGATCGTCCAAAATGATCAATGATGTCTGTTATCGATGCTCTATTTCACCATTCCTGTTCACTTTCATTGTAGACAAAATACTAGAGCCACACCAGGTGGGTTCTACATTTTTCAGAAAATATGTGCGATTTAGAGTGCGCCGGTTAGATCACTTTTTTGTTCGAAGATGCACAAGGCGCCCTTGACAGACTGACAAGATCCGTCTCTCAATTCGAATGCTCATCACAGCTTCAAGATGATGCTGTAAGACCGGGTGTCGATTGGTGGCACTTTCAAGCTGGATGTTTCGGTGTGCGCAACCATTAACCAAGTGCATTTTCGTTGCGATTTTGGTTGCTGTCTTCTCGCTGCCCATTTTAATGAAGCAGTAGGAACTGGTGGACGTTGACTGCTTCTCTTAATTAGGTAGCTGCTTAGCGATTGACGGTAGCGCAGCAAAGAAGATAACAATACTCATTGCAAAGGCCTCAGCAGTGTTGGCAGAATCAAAGAAACTGTGACAATGTCGTGATGTGTCACTCAAATCTATGGTTTAGGGCTAACTTACGGTTGTAAGGCCTTGAATTTATGAGTAGAAGATATTCATTACATTGAGATTTTCGACCATTGATGATTTTGCAGTTTGACCCAGGTGAGATGGATTGAGTGGACTTGTGACCTAAATGCATTTCGCCTTGTGCTTCGGAATTTCTCAGTAAAAGGTTCGCTAACATATCAAATTCCTATTTAGAATCTCTGATGACTGCGCATACCTAACATTTACTTTCCGCGTCGAGTCTTATTTGCAGTTACCGCTCCAGGTCTAAAGAAAACGTGAAAACCGGGGGGGGGGNGAGGAGGGGGAGGAGGAGTGTAAATCGCAATTAGCTACAGTGCGCGTACCAACTCGTACAGACTGCGGTTTCAAAATACATCGTAACTGTTCAATTGGAGACACTGAAGGTCATTACAATAAACAACAGTAGTGCTCGTATTGCCACTTTTCATGAGGCCAGAATGTTTGAAAAGACATTTTTGATTGTTTATATTGAGTACCCTATATGTTGACCGCAGAGGTTCACTGTCCTTTCCCGTTCCTCAAAACAGGCCTTATCTTTGTCCACCTTCCACATTTTAAAGTACCCTGTATGGTTTGTGAGCGTGACAGCGATCGATGAAATTCACTTTATTCTATTCCACTGTACGATGGTGATGATGATGATAATGACGACGAAGATACCGACTTAGAAAAACGTTCAAAAAAGGGTTTCCTGACAAAAAGCAATTGGAAACCCATCTCTAACGCACTGGATTTTAACGAATATCAAACATAAGCCAGAACTGCAAAACGCACCAAGGCATAATGTTAACGTGGAATATTAGGCAAAATAAACGGCTTGGTTGTTCTTTAACTTTTTGATATGGAAAAAGGAAGGATTGGTGTTAGAATAGAATATTTATAAGCCAAGCATTTCATTGTCTTGTTTTCTGATTCGTATTCTGACACTCACCGGATGTTTCTTTTAAACGTTGACATGTCACCGGACGTTGTAATCACATTACCTTGTCGATGAAGTACTGTTGAGTATAGAATTCGCGAATAACGGTAATCTTTGGTACAAAGCGAATGACCTTCCATTTTTTATTACCCATACGGTTTAATATCCTGAATAAATGTACCGTTTTAATAGGTTCAATGCCACATCTGCCCTCCTGGCGCCTCATTGCATTCTGGCTCAGATTCATTTCCCGCCTCCCGTCTCCCTTTCACTGACAGTTCAGTTAATGACACATCTTGATTCACTTGGTGCCGGTAATTCGGTCACCGCATTCTAAACCTGTTGCTGTTACGAAAATCTACTAGAAAGTCTGAAACAGATGTACAATGCTGCCAAACCCTTAACCCAATCGACTAACTTTCAATTTTTCTTTTCAGTTTTTCCTCTTTTATGACGCACACTAAAGAAAAAAAAGAAAAAAATATTACTCCCCAAGTTGACTGTTTTTGTTTTTTCCACTTGTGTTCCTATATTTTGCGGTAAACCCATGGTTATCTTGGCATCGTATCTGTGAAGATTGGTTATATATAATGATACAAGTTTCAGGATGAGAAAAGTGATTAATTAATGGGCTGCCATACATCCTTCAATTCCAAGGAGGACTTCATTCTAAATGATTATTGGATTCCAAATATTCTCATTCATTCTACAAGTAATCATTAGCAAATTCCTTTTACATTCGATGTAATCAACTAACATTTTTATTTCAATTCGTTCCCATTTACATATACTTCATCTGATTCATGAACTGACTGATGCGAGACAAGCTAGATAACCCACATGCACTACGATCCCATATTTATGTGAATACTGCCTCTCAACTTATTCCATCTATTTCGTAAAAACCAAAAACAAGGAATTTGCTTTTTTGTTGAAGGTACAGGTTCCATCTAAAAAAAACCCGGAACTGCGTTGTCTACTCCCTCATTCCTCATCTCAAAGCGCTGTGTCTTGTTTCAAAACACGTACACCAGATATGCATGAATTGTTATTGATTACACAGGACCAATTCTGGAAACCTTGTCGGCTCGGTCCCTTGTTAAGTAGCGGTGAAAACTTGAGCGTTCAACGTGTCCCCGTGCTCCGTAAACCACAGATTTCTGTCACAATTATACGTGAATTTATTTTAACACAAGCACTGCACTTACTATGTGTTTTCCCATCAATTTACGATTTCGGAGCTATACAATCTGTATGGTTCCAAGTCCTATGAACAACGATCCAAAAGCGTCAAATTTTTTTGCATCATGAGCTTTCCATCACCACCTCATCTTGATTGAGCTTCATCTGACGTTATATAAATGAGACTATCGCCGTACTTGGATTCGCGTAACGATTCCCTACCGTCTCCGTATGCACTTGATCAGCCTAACCGAGTATTTGCAAATATTGTCTATGAACATGCAACTAATCTTGTGAGGAATCGTAAAGATCACCTTCATCTAAGATAACATAATGAATGATTAACTAATATATTTTCTCATGATATGCTGCGAAGGAAACTGTACTATCTGGTATATTTGATTGAAGATAAATGCATGAAACCGTGAAGCAATGCAAGTATAACACTTACCTAGAGGATTGGATATAGTCCGTCGCTGTCGACGATGTCTAGAGGAAGAAAAGGTGAATTGTGATGCAAGTGGGAAAAGGCCTGATTCATTATTAAAATAAGTAATCCAAATTATTTTCCATATATTTGTACACGGTGTTCTAACAATTGAACAATAAATAAGCCTACCGGGGGTGGGTGGGGTGGGTAGGAGTAAATTTAGTCCAACAAGGGAAGAAAAAGTATAAGTGTGGGCAAATACGCTATCGCGAGTTAGCTTGCCAAGGATATGTGCGGCAAATAAAGTGTACAGTGCTCGAGGTTGGACAAAGTTCGTCGAATACTAAAAATAGTAATAAAACAATATTCATGTTGGAGGAAACAGCTCCGTCAATTAAATATAACGGGTTTTCGGAGCAAACGAACTGAGACGAGTAAACATTCCGGTGGACATAAGAATACAAACAGTTAAATTTTTGTCCAAATTTCTGTAGTCGGATAGTGTTCGCTAAAGGTAGCGGACATGAATTTTTCGATGTGCCAAGTCGAAGAGAACGACGAGGTCCGAAATGTTATTTATTCCTCCTGCTGGTTCACAAGCAAGAAAGAAGAAACCATTATCCATGCCTAAAATCTTGCAAGAGCTATCTGTCATCATCATTCTGACAATCATTTGATCAAACTGTTTTTGTTGTCTAATTTTTAAGAACTCGATATGCTTCGTGTGTGTGCGTGGTGGTGGGGTTTTCTGTAGGAATGAAAACAACTAAAGGAGGCGTCGCACAACTTACTGAATACAGTTCAGTTTTTAAGCTACCTTATGATCTTAAACCACTCTCAAAACGTTTGATAACACTATGATTGAGTAAACATTTAATATCCGGATTTCCCTTATACTTAACCATGTTTCATTGTTTGAAACATTGCTTTTCTAGGCGAGCGTTAGGACTGCCCAATCAGCTAAATTGACATCTGCCAGCTCGGTGCTCTGATAATGTTAGACCTAAATGTTTGACAAAGACTTGTATACGTCCCGAGAAACGGTTGAATATCCGTAGACAGAAACGATTATGGTGTTGTGAGAACCCAGCACTGGTTTTCGCAAGCTCGTCACGCGAAATTCTAAACTTGCGGCGGGCACACTCATGACGTGGGGCTTAGAAAGACTTGGATGGGGTGAGAGAGAACCCCACTTTTGCGAAAGACAGAGAAGGGCGATAAATGCGGTTCACCATCAGATGCATAGATGACGGGTCCGCCAGCCCCGTAAACCGAGTTGAATGAATAATATGTGTGTAGAGCTAATCAGACATGCAATGAACCGCGTGCACTTGCACACACCTACACATCTACACAGACACAACTCACCAGTTAGCCAATTGGCCTGTCAGTCGACTGGTCAGGACCGCCTGCTTCATTCCTATTCAAAAACCACATGACAGCAATCCTCTTTCCCCGTGACCAATGTCTTTTCGGTGAGCCCATCAGAAGCTTGTTTTGATTAGTCAGTCAACAACGCGTTGGTCTTTTATGAGACAAGTAGGAACGAATGATCAATCGGGCAGTCGCACATCCGTTATTCCGTTATGCAGCCCCGTCTAACCCGTTTCGTTTGCGGGTTTGTATGCATATGTGCGGACGCAATTAATTGAGCCAGCAGCTGATATCAAGCAAAATGATGCTGGTTGACACTCAGGGGATGACGGATGAATAAGTCAACTATATGTAACAATTGTGTTGGTTCAGAATACGGTTTCTTCTATTTACTTTTGTCCCGGGACTAGCCAGGTTCTATCGATCGAGTTGTATAGCCCTTCCCACCATGTTCTCATAATGTTTTGCGATACTAATCTATTAAGCACCGCAGCGGTTTTATGACCCCGTCTCATAATGCAATCGATTCACTAGAGGTCAACTAAACGTCATGTGGACGACACGCGTCAGACAGTGCGCGATATTCACCATCATGGTGAGGTCGAATAATTTGTCTGACACAGTCTGTCCGTGCTCACTGCATACTCCAGATATATTAATGCCCTCTCACTCTTACTGACCCATGTCCTTATTCACACACCTCTTTGCTTAAGTGAAAATGGGGAGTGCATTGTTAGGGTAATTTATTTGTTTTATGAGAATGCTTAATTTGAGCAGTGGCGGGTCCGTTTATTCTATATATCTCGTTGTGTGTCTGCAGATGCACAGGTGCATTCCGGTCTGTAAGTGTAGCCTCATGTGCATTCATTCTTTTCCCACGACAACATTTTGAGTGTATAGTCACCCACCACGTGCCGTTTCGGCCATCATGATATATGCCTGATAGAATCAGTAAATGTGTACACGAAAGAAAACCTTGCAGTATAGATGAAAGGATTCAGATTTCCCGAGTACATTCATGGTTTTGGTTGTGTCTAAGTATTCGCTCTTTTTCCCCACTGAACTTCTCTATCGCCGTAGTATGTGAAAAAACTTTAGTGGACATTTTACTCTCTAGGAGGTGAACCCTAAATCATTACACATCGCTTATTTACCTTCTTTTTTTGTTTATTTACCCGTGTTGAAGGTGAATGTAACTGCCTCTTCGTTTGCTTCATATTTTTGGACGGTATAGGAAAAGGCCTAGCCTATGAATCATATCTGAATGGGTATTACTTCAAAAATTCTTGAAAATTGTTTTATTCATGAAGTTAACTCATAACGTTTGCAATCTAATAGTGATCCACCAGCAGTAGCAAACAGTCTGCCATGGAGAAGGCGAAACATTTGGAACAAATAGTCAGGATTTTAGACAGCTCAGTCTATTTGAGTGAACGTGCTTAGACCTTGTTTTAACACGGATGTTTTAAAAGTCGTAAGGTTGATTAGCGAAAAGATTGAGATCCTTAGTGCACCATTTGCAGTAATAAATACCGAGAAGATTGAGTGCTGCAAGTGCATCTTCTTCCGCAGGTTTCGGACATTTTAAGCAAAGCTGTTTAACGAGCTGGGAAACAAGGTGAGAAGTAAAGCACTCGAATGATTGCAAATTTAGTTACTATTTACGTGGGTAAATTTAATTTACAGTTGTCCCGGAATTCCATTCACTGAGATCTGAATACACACCTTAAGTTCGTAGCACAAGTCTTTCTATTTCGTGTAGGGCTGTGTGTTTTCTGTCGCATTCATCGAACAAAACATGTTAAGCCACAAGTTTTGCTGGATGCCGGTACGTTTCTTAAGTGGTTGGAGTTGGATTTTTATCAATTCGAAGGTTCAAAGTTCGAATTCCACACCACCTAACTTTCCCGTTTAATATGTCCCCAGGCTGCAGTCCACCACCTTCCTATAAGTTGTTCGTAAGTCGTTTGGAATGTAGAAAATAAAACGATTATTAGTAGTATGATTCAGAGCTAATGGATAAGAGTGCGAAACATATTGTCATCAGAAGTAGTTTGAAGGAACTGGGTAGCCGGCAGTTAGTGCGGTGTTGATTTCGAGTACTGATTTGGTTTGTCCGCTTGAATGCAACCATCAAGGCTACGACAGGTAGGCAATACTATCGTGTATTTAAAACCCTGAATTCATTGAAAGATATTTTATTGTTCAAGTGAATTCACCATACCTCATGTAAGTGAAAATTATTCGACCATTTTAGCCCTATCAATAGCGGAGAAATAGTCTGAAACTAATTAGGTGTATCGTAATAACATGGTCTCCTTTCTTTTGTTG